CCTTGTACACAGTTGAAACTGCCATCTTCAATAGTAGGTCCTCTTTGATATTCTTCTAAGTAGATTGCTCATCCACACGCTTATTGGACTTCTTTAAAGTTGAAAAGCACGGAATGAAAGAGTCAAAACCGGTTTATCTTTGCAGACATATTTGGGGCGGATATTAGTAAGATGTATATTTATTTTCAAAATTTCTTAGTACATTAGTTTGCTGCGCATAATACCTTAAAACAGGCAATTACAATCCTACCAATCCGTCTTAAATTCGCTCTGTAATGATTATTTTATTATCAAACCCCAGCAGTTCCGCTAGCCAATTTACCGAAAGCTACTGAATCCTTTGAAAAAAACGATGTCGCAGGAATCCAGAACAAGTAGTACTCCACTAAATGTAAGAGCTTTTATCTCAGGGTTGTGTTCAAAATCGCACGAGTATCTACAAGACCGCCAGTAATCGTCCTCGGGTAAACCTAAAGTGAGAGCAGATTGTCATTAATTATTTTGGGCGGAATGGCTACCAGGTCTTGCATTCAAAGCGCATTTGGAATGACGCGTCATTTCCAGCCCTAGCAGATGCAGATATCTTCAACCGCCGGTAACTCCAAACAATAATAGATGCCAATGAACATGGGTGGGTTTTACAGTGTTGCGCGAAGCCTCAACAACAAGTCCGAGGGGTTGTGATATCTACATTTAACTATAGTCCACAAGAAGGTACAAAATTTAGACAGCAGTTCTAAAATATACCGCTGGTCTTTCTTTAGGAGTTGGATTTCTGTGTTCCGAATGAATGGATTTGCAGGTGGCATGCTAGGCCGATTTTGAGACGCGCATTCATTTCTAAACTGTAGTGAAAGATGAACCCATGAAAGCTTCTTGGTTTCGAGCCCATCTCGTTCCAAGTTTTCACAGATTAATTGACCACTAGAATCTATTCGCTGAATAAGCAGTGTGAGTCTTGACAAAATCAAAGTCTTCAGCTGGATGGGGACATGTGCCCTCAGTGTGGTACTGCGTTTGACGGGAAAGGTCAGAGCTAGTGGATTGTATGTGCTAATGGATTATGTCTTGCACATATTTGCATGAATCTACAGATATAGGGAGCACACGACTTGTACGTCATGATGGGTTCGGTGCGTAAGCAGCGGCTGTTTGACTGAGTGGATATAAAGAGTCAACTGTGACCTGTGTTCCTTTTGGGAATGCCAAAATGTCATGCTATTTGTTACAGATATAAAGACTATGTTGCGGGAATTATTTTGGCTGCCTCGCTGCATTTCAAAACGTTGACCTTCTTCAGGCCCGGATGATGCTGCTAGGTCGAATTCCGTGCATGAATTTGTACCTAATTCTTCAAAGGGAACCTGAGAGAAACATTTAATTTTTGGTGGAAATACACGGTGTCTGGCGTCAACTGTAAAAATAGTGAGGTTAATTTTGGAACGTCAGTGATTTCCTAAAACGCTCTGGTTGAAAACACCATATCATATTCAATGAATATGCGGTAGCCGAATTTCAATTTGACTTAGTATC